CCGCGCCGCCATGGAAGGCGAGGCGAACGCGACCCTCCAACCATCCTGCGGCGCCAGCGAGCCGCCCTTCTCGGAGGAGCATCTCCAGAGTAAGCGCGGCGGGATGGGGCGGGAGGTGGCGGGTTGGGGAGGGCGGTGTGTGTGGAAGGCGTGAGGGAGAAGGGGGGTGCCCGCTGCCGCCCAGCCGTTAACGGCCGCGCCGCGCGCCCTCCCCTCAGTACCCAGCCGCGGCGCTTGGCCATGCCCGCCCCCGCCTCCGCCTGCCCCGCCGAGGAGAGCCCCCCGGGCCGACCTCGGCCTGACGGGGAGGCCGAGCTGGCTTGGCCCGCGGGGGGTGAGGGAAGGAGGGTAACTGTTTCTTCAGGATGACTAAAAAGACTTCCAAACAGAAAACGAGCTGGAATGATGTTTCAAGAATTTTGCCTGTATCTTTCTGCAGCTGGGCAGCAAAAGATGTGCTGGATGCGGGACGCTCTGGGCAGCCTGTGAAGACTGGGCAGATAACACATTCTAACAGCCAGTTACTGCTGCACCCCTGCCCGTGAAACTGTAAAGCTCTCCTCTTCACCTTTCAATGCAGTGAAAACAATGACAGCAATGGCAAGGAGGACTCAAAATAAATAGTTTTGGTCTGCAACCAAACCCTCCTGACAGTAACAGCCTATAGACAGCTGTGTTGCTCCCAAACCCTGCCACACTGGCAGGGATCTGCCTTTTCTCAGTCAAATACCTGCTGGTGTTAGCGACTGAAAAGTTCAGTTCTCCTCTGCATCCCTGTGCTCTTGCTGGCTGTGCTTCGGTGTCTATCCTGTCCTTCCCGTAAAATCTCTGGGGATCCTATGAAAAATGCAAAATGGCAGGTTTTACCACAATGGCCCATGGTGTCTATGAACGTTCCACAGTCCTTAAATTCCCCACGTTCCCTCAATTTGTTCAACCTCCTAGAATACCACCTTGATGGAGGCCTCCATATGTATTTTGGCTGTTTTCTGTCTTCCCTTCTTTATCCACTAATTCCTGGCATTCCTTTGCATTTTCGCCCATGCTGGCTCCTCAGCTGTCATTTCTGAGGACTATCCACCATGGCCCCAAGATCGTTTCCTGAGGGCTCTCCTTCTCCCCCCTACCCGAAAACTACTTTGTGTTTATTGATAGAGTGTGTCACCTGCTGCTTTGTCACCCAGAGCTGTTACCACCCCTCTGCTGCTTCTTGCAGCCAGCTTTCAGCCTGGCTACCCAGAACAAGCCTGTGGGTCACCAAACTCCATCATTTCATTACTCATTCCCTTTTCCTGGAGACAGCCTGAAAAGACTCCAGCTCCAGAAAGGCTCCTTCTAGCAGATGAACCGTGTGGGCAGTGGAGAATCCCTCGATGTGCTTTCCTTCGGCCAGCGCAAAAGATGGTGCAGCTTTCCACCTCATTGCAGCCAAGATTAGCGGGAAGTCTTTGGTGAAGGGCTCCGTGGAGAACCCTT